CCGCACACAAGCTGGAGATTCACCAGGCAAAGCTATCTGACTCTCAGAACCCCTTCAATGGTTCTATGCCGGCAGATTACACAAGTGCGATTCACAGGTATTTTTAGCCACAGACACCCTGGTACAAAAACACTTTTAAAAACATCTTAGACAGAATGGAAAAGATAAGAATATAAGGGTTTCAGGCTAGGTTGTTTTCAATCACAAATAATGCTCCCTGACCACTGAAGTAAAATGAACTCACTTCCTAAACTTCCTACTATACACAATGGCCGTGGGCAGGCCGGACAACAAAGTCCTACTAGAACAGAAAATAGACTCATATTATTGAAGGAAACCATTGGTATACATGGTGTAAACGTTGCTCATTGGCCACCAGGTCATCACAAGAGTTGTGATACTGAACCAGAGACAAATTCAAAGTAAATCAGGATGGATGAGATTGCAGAGGATGAAAAGGCATGACTTCACTTTATTTTGTCTGTTCAATGTTAATAGTCAAATTGACCACTTAGCACTGAAAAATGTTGCTGAGGTTTCCACTTTTTCTTTAGAAGAAAACAGGACTACACAAGAAAACTTCTACAAATAAAAAAGACGGCACTGTTTCTATTTATTCACAAGGTTGCCTGTGTTATCATCTACACTGTAAATGTGTAAAGGGACGGCAGTCTAGCGAGGACATTGCTGCTGCTGCTCCCTCTCCGAAAAGTGCAGCAACCGTCCTGTGACACTGACACAGTTTTTAAAAATGCAACCGCCTGTAGAGCCAACCGGCCTGCAGTGCCGGCAGCCACGTTTGCGGAGAGGACAGGAAGGAGGTGGAAAAAAAGGCAGAGTGTATGAGAGAAAGGAAAGGACTGGATGGTATTATCTGCACACACATTCTATGGCTCAAGCCCAAAACATTTGAATTATTACAGATGAAGGAGGAGGAGGAGACTAACAACACTCGCTGATGTGCAGCCTATAGCTCTCCAGCTTTCTAAGAACACACCAGTCCAGCATGTGAACAACCAACTTTGTTATAAATTCCAACCTGGAATGCAAGCAATCTTCACTGGTACCATTAAGCCATTAGATGCAATTAAGGGAAATGATTAACATTAATAAAAACAATTAGGCTGCTGCTGCTGAATAGAAGTCTCTCTTTCAAATATTTTGAACAGTTGTGTAACTATTTGCCACACATCTGCATCTAGCAACTGGACTAAATTCATAATGCATTCAAATCAGTCTGTTACCTGATAATTAGACAATAACTACACAATATGATTTGTTTGTCAGAGGCATGCAAATAAGGCATCTTATAGATCTGTGTTAGTGCATGGTGAGAAATATCAGCATTAAAGACATAGCACATCCTTAGCCATTCCCCAGAGTTTTACATCTTATGTGATGATGACAGCAAATATCAAACTCAACACAAAGAGAGCGGATGCATGTAGGCCAGCTACATCTGCCCCACGAAAACAAAGCCTCCACACAGAAGAAGAGGAGGGGGTCCGACATCGGGAAACACTCTGCAGCGACATTACATAGTGAAATACCTACTCTATATCATCTACCCTTCAGACAATAAAGATAGACTCAAATAGGACCCCGAGGGTAACACGTTTCCAATGAGATGAACACAAAGCGCCCATTGTGACCGACCTTCATTGATGTGCATCCTGTCTCGATAGCCTCCGTGCGGTCACAGAAGGATGCAACTAATAGAAAAAACGGACCAAAAACATATAATAGTAGCACACAGGGCAAATGTGGCCGGTGTTTTCACAGAGGCAGCAAAGTGACGAGTGTGTGTCGCTTTACAAAGGCGGCTCAGCTCAGAGCAGGCTGGTCATGCTGCTGCTGCCGACAACAGTAGCCATCCAGTTAGCCAACAGGGAGTCAGACCAGTTTGCTTAGCCGTTACACGCATAACAGCGTATTTACTGAGCCTGTTTGCTAAATTTTATACATGAATTTCAATCCAGGTTTTATTGCTTGAAAAGCGAGAAGCTCCTAAATCCGCCGTTGTACCAACATTGAAAAAAACACATTTCACATCAGTAGATGACAGCAGAGAAGCAGAAAGGCGACTCTTTACATTTTTTTTCTGCCGCAAACTTCACGTGAGTCCGGTCAACCGCCTAGCTAAAAGTGTTAGGGTGCGCCGTTTAATCTGTTAGCTAAATAAAAGTGAAATCTACTGCTCACTTACCCTTTTCCTTTCTGGTGTGTGTGTGTGTGTGTGTGTGTAGAGCCCAGCCCTGCCGTTGCTGCAGTTCAGTCTGGCTGTGCGCGTCGGCCTTCTCTCCCTCCGTTGCTCAGCAATAACGTCGCTCCCAGCAAACTAGCGGCGGGCGGACAGACGCACTCAGAGAAGCGTCAACGCGGTGAACGGATATAGTTCACGACTTCCTGTCACAACTTTCAGAATAAAAGCAGCGCGAACATGATGGCGAGAGATGTCAATATTGATATTAGCAGCAAATGCACCAACAAACACATTAGAAAATGCTTTCTAAATTTAAAGAAAATAACACCCTGTAGCATTAGAATTCTCTACATTCTGATTAATGAGATTGGCTTGTTCCTATTAGATTTTGTATTACAAACAAAGTTGGAGAATTACACTTGAAATCTTTGCAAAAAAATATATCCAACAATCATGTTTATCTCGAAATTCATGCTTGTTGATAACAATTGCACCTTTTGTAAAACAGAACAAGAAATTTTAACTCATATTTTCTGTTTGTTCATTCTGTATCACATTCTGAGAGTTACATACGATCTAAAACACGTGCAATCACTGTTGAAGGGGAAAATGTCATTACCTACTTCGAATATAAAGATAAGAACTTATGTTTTATTGTTAATCTCTTTATTTTATTATGGAAGTTTCATATTCACAAAGCTAAATTATCTAAGTCAACCCCATGTTTTAAGGGAATCTTAATCGAAACTGATATGTACTTTAAGTCTCTTAAACTTGTAACAAATAAGAAAAGCATTTCAATAAGTAATATACTCTATTTACCTAAGTAATACCATCTATCACCCCCTATTATAAGGAAGTTTGCCAATTATTTATTAATTAATTTTTCTTTTTCCTTTTCTTTTTTATTGTATTATTTTATTTCTATGTGTTGTGTTCATGAACTGGAATGAACACAACACATAGATCTGTCATCAATTAATCATGTGATGACAGATTTAAAGAGAATGTAGTTCAACTTTCTTAAATATGTGGGGAGAGAAAAGCACCTGGAAAAAATAGTGATACAAAAGTCAGAATAAAACAACATGAACTTTCATGTATCAGGTGGGGCTTTTATGTTTTTATTTATTAAACTTAATTATTACTTATTTATGATGTATTTTAGTTTCTTTCTTGTATAGGCTCATAGGAGACAGTTGATAATAATCAACTTAAGTATATAACACATAAATATGCAGGGCTTAGCTGAGAGCAATAGTCAGTGATAATGAAGATGAAAATCACAAGATATTACATTATTAACACACTTTACTTCAAAATTTCATCATAATAAAGATGTAGATCTTAATTCTTATAGACACATTAGAAGCTTTGTTATGTGGACCATGAATGTTTGTGTGCCATGAGTAATTGTCAAACAAACATTTATGTTTCCATGAAAATCTGTCAAACTAAGGAACATGATTTGAAATAAATACATTTATTTTTTAACCTAAAAACACATAATGCAAAAAACTATTGTTACCCTGTAAGACTGTCTGGCTTTTTACCCAAAATGTTTTGTCACAATAAAATATGAATGAGTATACAGAAAATGTATGTATTAATGTGGTTGTCAGCTAACATGATCATGCTGATTGGACTACAATAAAGAAGCTGGAGTTGCAATGGAACTTCTTAATTCATGATGAATTGCACAGGATTAATAACCTACAGAAATATACATCTTAAGGCAGGGGAGGTGCAAAGAAAACGTAGATTACAGATGGCAAAGCTGACATCACTTTGCACAGACTGGATCGGAGGATTAGACATGCGTCTCCTTTTTAACGGTCCATAGTCTCGTCTCATTTTCAAAACTCTGTTTTAATTTTGAAGGCAGATGTCGTAATTTCCGGTGTTTTATTTCTCTGTCTAGCTTGACACAGTTCATCCTCAGCAGCGCCTGCGTCTACATTTCCAGCCATGGATGCTTCCAACTCGACCAAAAGCCCATGTCAGCCAGAACAGGGTGGGCGGGTTTCCTGGACTCACTGGTCACGTTGCAGGTTCTCTTGTTACCGTAACATCAGCTGGGCTGCGCAGCGGGCAATAATATATTTGATGCTGAAATTGAGGGCAATGCTGCATGATGCGCATCTCAAATGGACTAGGGCTCCCGGGAACCAAACAATTAAAGAAACGACCAAATTAAATGAGGATGTTCAAATACAAGAGCATAAAAGCACTATCATTATGCTCGTTTTGCTGGATCATACGAGCATTACTTATTAAAATTAAATTCCATTTTGGAGCTGTTGCTTAATAAAAACATACTGTCGTAGTAAATAAAAGTGTATTAAAGCTACTCACATCTGAAAAGATAATTAACATTAGAGCATTTGGAACATAAACAGTCTAAAACAGTGGTTTTCACGCCAAGAACCGCTAAACTGACACAAATTAGACCACGGACCCCCAAGATTTTGTCCCAGGGTCCCACATCTAATTAGATTTTTGATTTTAGATATTTTATTACAGAAAGTGTATGAAACCCATGACCAAAATACTCATACATTCTGCCATAGTATTTATGGATGAAAATAAATGATTCCCCTTTTTGCTGGGGACCCCCTGCAATACCCTTAAGGGCCTCACTTTGAGAACCATTGCTATAAAACAAGGTGAATAAAAAGTTTTGTTTGCATCTAGGGATGATTGAGCTAAATGAGCCTACTCAGAGAAATCCGTACCATGCCACAAAAGTGAAACGTCTTATATGCTGCCAACGATTTATTGTTAAGTGTGTAAGTATTTTAACCTTCTGGCCCCATCATGGTCATTTTTGATCTTTTCAGTTGTTATTTCTTTGACCATTTTGGCTTACTTAATGGAAATGGTTTGTAATTTGGCAAAGTTGTTAATTTTTGGATTTTTTTTAAAATTTTGATCCCATGTTGCAGAATATGTGTATTAAACACTGATTATTTTCAATACCGACATGTAGTACGTTTCGATCAAAATTGATCTCATTAACGCCCATTAAAACGTCATGTACGCCTCGCGCCGTCATTAATTAATGAATCATGACTTATGTTGAAACATACTTTTATTTTGAAGGAAAAACATAAAATTTGTACTGTATAGTGTTTTCCACCAGATGGCGGTACTATTTTGGTAAGCCCTATGGGGGGATATGCATGTTATTTTCCTGGTGTCCAGTAGGGGGACTGTTGACTGTTATGAATCATTTTTACGTCTTTGAATGATCTAAAATTATGTTTCAGAAGATGTGTGGGTGTCTGGGAGTGACGTGAGTGTGCATTGATAAATGTGTGTGCGTGTGTGTTTGTGTATAGGGCGTTTTTATCTAAAATTAGTTTATGCGAGAGACCAAAATCACAGAGCCCCGCCGGTCATGTTTTACCTTCTCCGCCTGTCTGTCCTCTCCTCTCTCTATTTCATACATCGAAGCACAATTACACAGAACCTAACTCTCACACACGCATGCAAGCACGTACAGGTTAATGGGTAAGCCTTCAAAGACTCCAAAATATGAAAAATTATCGAGCCACTTGCATGATTGTGGTCTGTTTTAGCGGTTACGGCTGCAGAGCTTCGAACGAGAGTGTATGTAGGTTTCTGTGGGTGTGTCTGTTTCTCGCTCTGTGTGTGTGTGTGTGTGTGTGTGTGTGTGTGTGTGTGTGTGTGTGTGTATTTCTATATTTGTGAGGACCTCAAAACATGTTCGCTCATCTGAGCGAAAGCAGCGTACCAGCCATTGTTTTTCGTCGTTCTGTCATGCGTATTTTACGCACAGACATATAACTCTGAAATGGCTGCAGTTTTTGTGCAGTTTATCGTTCAAAAAGACAGGATAATGTCTCCCTTACGTAGAAGCTCGGCCTCTCAGACTGGTGTGTGTGTGTGTGTGTGTGTGTGAACAGGGTGTAACCCAACACCGCGGTGACGTAATGCAGCTGAGTATTCTCCGGGGGCTGACAAAATGGCTGAGAGGGCAGCGCGCAGAGGAGACGGTAGATTGTAAATAGAAAGCGAAAAATGAACCTAAGAAACGCTGAAAGGACACCCTGTAACATGAAGTCGGCCTAGCAAAACCGACACATTATGCCACCGCTTGCGTCGTCAACTCTGCATACGCATTTGGGATTTTGTCGCTGAAGAAACGGACCTGGGCAAGCCAACTGGCTCGACACTCCCCTACTTTTTCATGCGAATACACAGCAGCAGAAACAATACCTCCAGCTGGATATTTGTCCATACCAACAGGCTTCTTCCAGACCACACCGCAGATATTGGACACCGGCTACATAAGGAGTGGCGAATAAAGTAGGCAAGTTTTATTGACGTTCATTGTGCAGCTAGCTGTTTGGTATTGGTGATGGCGCAGAGGACGAGCTCTTCACCTTTGGCACTGGAGACCCGGGTTCAAATCTTTCTGTTACCCATGCACATTTTGTCCCTGAGCAAGACACATAACCCCTAGTTGCTCCAGAGGTGTGCGACCTCTGACATAAATAGCAACTGTAAGAGACTTTTGATAAAGCGTCAGCTAAATGCACCTTTTGCATGTTACATTGGACATCACGTTACATTTGTCCCTAGACTGTATGCATCTGCCAGAAAAGGACACATGGGTGGGCGATGGCTCTGATTTACAACAAGTGGAGTGGATGTGTCTGCTTTCAACACAGCAATAGCAATTGTAAGGTGCTTTAGATAAAAGCATCAGCTAAATGTAAAATGTAATGTCTCAACTGTATTTAGTTATTTTATTATGCATTATTTTTGGCATTTATGTAACATAGACAAATAAATATATAGTTATTTGTGTAGAAATAACATTTGCGTAAGTTTATTCATTCGTAATTTTTTCTCTTGCATGTTACATTGGACAGCATGTTACATCTGGACACCTAGACTGTATGCATCTGCCAGAAAAGGATATGTGGTGTGCTATGTGGTGGAAAACACTGAAAACTCATTTTTTGGTCCTCTGGCTTGGGAATGAGAATGTATTTGAATATAAATCATGATGTTATGATTGTAGGATCAGACATGTACTTTTTAATAGGTTTCAATGGGTCTTATGAGCCTTGGTGTTTTTTTACATCTAAATCTGATACAGCACAAAAAATAAAAATGCACCAAAATCAATGTTGCTGCTAATCTTTGACATATTCAAGACTGTGATAATCCACAGATAAAGTTTTCCCTTTGAATTTACTACATGGAAAATAATTACATTTTTGTGTTTTTTCATTTTTTAGAAATTTATGATATCGTCACAAAAACTGGAATTTAAAGGGTTAAAATCCTGAAATAAAACAAATATTTGTTAGTTATGATCAGGACTGATGCTGGTTAAAAGATTTAACTCAGTGAAAGTGGAAAAAATTAATAATATATAAAATTTTATTAATTAATTTTGTAATTTTTGATATAAAACCATTTTTGATCATAATGCGCCGAGTGGGATTATTTTAAAAAAACTGACATAACACCAAATTTTTAAATGCACCAAAATAATGTTGCTGCTAATCTTTGACATACTCAAGACTGTGATAATCCAAAGATAAAGTTTTCCCTTTGAATTTACTACATGGAAAATAATGACATTTTTGTGTTTTTTCATTTTTTAGAAATTTATGATATCGTCACAAAAACTGGAATTTAAAGGGTTAAAATCCTGAAATAAAACAAATATTTGTTAGTTATGATCAGGACTGATGCTGGTTAAAAGATTTAACTCAGTGAAAGTGGAAAAAAATAATAATATACATTTTTTATTAATTAATTTTGTAATTTTTCATATAAAATCATTTTTGATCATAATGCGCTGAGTGGGATTATTTTTTTAAATCTGGTATAACTCAAAAAATAAAAATGCGTAAAACTCAATGTTGCTGCTAATCATGGACATATACCAGGCTATGATAATCCATCCCAAGAAATCCACCTGGCATGTAGTATACTATTTTATTTTAATTTTTTTGTTTTTTCCATCGATCAAAACTGTGGCATCATGTGAACAAATGGCATTTAAGGGGTTAAAATTCTGGAAATTAAATAAATATTTGGTAGTTATGATGAGGACTGATGTTGGTTAAAAGATTTAACATTGTGAAAGTGGAAAATAATATTAATATATAATAATTTTTATGGCAGGATTTAGAACTATCATTTTTGATCTGAGATACACTAAATGTCGTAAAATATATAATGAGGCCAGAGGGTTAAATGTCCACCAAAATAAAAGCCTAAAATTCAAATCCAAAACAATGCACTCCTGTCATTTGTCTGGCACAATGACGCAATGACGCTCCTGCCCTGTCGGCGTGAAGTGCTCGGTTTAAATCGTTGGATGTACCGCTGTCAAGGCGGAGCTTTTGTTTGATGCTTATTTTCAAACTGTATACTTGACCTCGTGAAATTTTACATTTAACATTTTGTGATTTTAGCTATTGTATACTACTTCACCACGGTTGGCTTATAATTCGGCATTCACTTTTTTGAAAGCCTGTTGGTTGAGTCCTTTTTAAGATTAAGTATTTTAAATATCACGGCAACCATGTAAGCTGATTTGTATTAGATGTTTTAATTTTCCTAAAGTGTTTAGTAATTTGTATGAAAGCTGTACCGATCTTTTGAATTGGATTTCTTTTGTATTTTCTCGACAATGTCGCCATTGCGGCAGACGACGTGACACAAATCGAACCGCCCTGTCCGTTGAACGATTTTACAGGACTTTCCTGCTGTGGCTAGCGAATGGATGAACAACATGGACGACCCGCGGGATGTTCAAACTTCTAAGCGAAACGGGAGCTCCAGGTCGTTATTATCGGCCGGCTCCTCGGTGGCAATGGAGATTAAACGGAAGAAAATACGACAGAGTGCCTTATTTCTGCAAACGGAGGTAACGTTAAGATTTACAGAGAGGTATTTGACAGTGTTTTGTCGTTAACCCCGAACCATAATGACAGTTCAGTTGACGCTGGAATGGGTCCAAAGTGCAACGAAACTAACGTTAACTGCTAATATTCAGTTCTTCTTAGTTTAACGTTCACAGCTTCAATAACTTACTTATTCGGTTAGGCTCTGCTTAAATAACTTGAATTTTCTAACGTCTGTTTCATTCACACACTGGCTTTTAGTTCCCTGGGACGAAGCTAGCGAGTTGGGCCAGTTAATGTTATTTGATACGGGAGTTTCCCCCTTTATTATAGTTCCCTGAAACCAGAGCCATGCAGTCTGCATGCTGAATCGTGCTAAGCAGCCTGTGCAAAAATGTTTACTCTTGCTTTAACAACGCTCAAACTAATTTCATTTCAGACCAAAAGCATGAAACGATGCCCAAATCTTCTGAATGACACTCTGCAGATAGTAGAAGACATGAATTTGTTGTACATACGACAGATTTCTAAGAAGCTACAGGTGCATATTTTAGTTTTTTACTAACATGGAGTATGATGATGTTTGTATCCCTAAAAATATTGTGCATGCACTTCCTAAACTTAACATGCCAAGTTCTAGTTCGAACCCACCAAAACCAAATTCCCATACCAAATCGAAAAGGTAACGTTAGTGTTTTGAATTTAGTACAATATGTTTCAGACCAGATTATATCAGACATCATCATCCTCTATTAGAGGAGTTAGAACTGCCATATTTTTCCTGCCTCTGTTCACTGTCTTTGCAGTATGCCATCCATACTGTGTCTTCAACATCTACATTGCATATAATCTACATAAAGTTATGCACTCACTGATTTTGTCCATCTAGCATAATACAGTGTGTTGGTCATTATTTCACATCATTTCACCTTGAACACCAACATAACTTGCTCTTGAGTGATGAAAAGAAGTTGGTTTCACTGCCACAAGTCTGACAGGTTTAGACATCAGTGTATTATTGTAAATTTAATCGTGGTGGTAGCTACACTAGAAGATCACATTTCCTTACAGCCTTGTAATATTCATTTGTGTTTGTCTGTCATTCTCAAGGAACTCTGAAAGCTTGAGCTGTGTTTGTGACAGAAAAATTGTGCCTTTTTTGTTTAGTGCTGCAAATCAAATATTTAGTCTGTCCCAAAAACCAACTCCAATTCGGAGGCACTCAAGGTTAAGTGTAACAGCTGGAAGAGGTTGTAAGTTGTCTTAAAAGTGTTCTTGTTTGTGAATATGACATTTATGTGCATTACTTGTTTACTTGACATCCCCAAAGTGCTGAGACACCCTTGACACTGGAAGGGATTTTTGTTCTTCCCAAAAACAACTTGTGGTAGACCGAGTTTTCCAATGGCTGATGCTGAAATGTAATGATATCAAAACAAAGAAATCATGTATAATTCTATTATTCCATGCAGAGTACAATCTAATATCCATGGTTATCATAGCCAGTAATGTGTTGTTTAAGATGGAACTTTTATTAATTAATGAAATATAAAAATGCATTGGGTTGTGCTGTAGATTTCAGAACATGACTGGTGTTTAAGGGAGAGTGGGGTACAGTTTATCAGAAGTGACGTCATTCAACTGCATTATTCTCTTCAGTATAACAATATGTATTCAAAGCTAGCCAGTAATGGTGTTAGATTAGAATTGCTTTAATTTAAGATTGGAGAACCACCTTCCCAAAACTCTCAAGGGTGAGCGCTGACATCATTCTGACAAGGCTGCCTGCAGATGTGTCCACAGACATTTTTTGTTTATCGGCCTTGTCAGCACAGGTATCAGCTGATGCCCATTATGTCAAAACGCCAGATATTAGCCCCTTTAATCTAGCTAAACAACACTCAACAACATTCAAGGGCAACATGTTTGCACTCATCATGTCTCTGGTCTCATTATAGCATATTGTTTGACGGACTAACACAAAACAGTGTAACGCATCTTATTGCAACTCTGTGTTTTATGGATAAGTTTGGTCATTTGAACTTTCTCCTTTCTGTGTATTCTGTCCAAGAAGAACACTAACATACAAGAAAAGCTTGATTTTGAGATGCGAATGCGGGAGGGTGCCTACAAGCTGCTACTCGCCTGCAGTAAGAGAGAACAGGTCCTTAACGCCTCCAAGAACCTGCTGACCTGCAACGCCAGGATCAAGGCTTATCTCACACAGCTGCAGAAGATGAAATGGGAACAGGACATGATGGGAGCAGTCAGGAGGTAAGGAATTGGGAGCTTTCTGTGTGGCAGATATCTTGGAATGGTTTTTAAGTTACATTCCTTGGCCTTCAGTTTCAGCGCACATTATCAATAAATATATCAAATTGAAATATATATTATAAAGCTCTACTTCAATGAAGAAATTAAGTGTAGGGGAAAAGTGAAAAAAAGTGATGACTTGAGACAGGACTGTATGGGTTTTGAGGGTGTTGAATTGCTGTTTTATTGCAGTGAAGCTGATACACAGATTGTGATAAATTGTAATGTTCAGTTATAAATTGTATTTCAGACTTTCAGATCCGGTGTCAGATGACCGTGTTCCCTGTAATGGGACAATTGCAATGTCTGGTAAGATTGCTCCCCCTTTATCCAGAATCGATCAGTGTTGGAAAGTGTCAGTGCAATTCGTACCATGTACAATTAAGTAGTTTTTAAGGTTATTTTTCACAAAATGCATATGGAGCATTTTAGAAATGAACTCTTAAGAATTGTTGCTAATTAACACTTTTCCTCTGCTGATGTAGATCTGCGTATTCCTTTGATATGGAGGGATTCAGACCACTTCAACAACAGAGGGAGTAAGTTAGTCCTTGTTTTGCCAACATATATGCCTTCTGTTTAGCTTTCCTCCTGTTATTTTGTGGATACTCACTGCACTAACACACACTGTTCATCCCTTGTGTTTATAAGGCTCTCGTCGAGTGGCGGTGTTCTGTCTGATGCAGATGGGCTCAGAGGTGTTTGACACACAGATGGTGGTGGTGGACAGATCAGTCACTGACATCTGCTTTGAGGCAGTCACTATCTTGTAAGTATTTATTGCGGCTGTATAGTGGTGAAATAAAATGAATGATTATGGAGCTATGTTAAAAGATATATTGCTGAAAATGTACTCTTCTTTTTCGTAATATGATAAGCAGATTATGTATTTGAATTTTCTTCTACACTGACATATCTATTATTATTGTACCGTTATTGTCACAATTGTATTTCAATAAAACGTTTCATTTATGTATCGTTATTGTTTTGTTTAGTTTTTAATTTTGATCTAACATGATTTATATGCATTTAATTGAATTTTTCCCCCTTATAGTAAAGAAGCAGATCCTCAGTTTGAGCTGAAGGTGGAGTTGTGGAGCTGTGCCCTGGAAGAAGAGCTCACATTGGTAAACACACCAAAGAAGCTCGCCAAGAAGCTCCGCAACTCTTTTGGAAAGACAGCTGGGAAGAAGCTCTGCCCTCTGCTGGACAATCCAGACCCTGACACCTTCCTGCAGTATAATCCCATACCGCTGTATGTATTTTGTTATCCTATAAAACACTTTGCAGACTCTTGGCTCTCTATTAGAAACTAACTTGATTATGGTTTGTTACTGCAACGAAGGGTGTAGCTGCAGGCTCACACAATGGGTTTGTAAACAAATCCCGCTGAGTGAGTATTGAAATAAAAATGTAACCAATATTTGGGGTTATGATTACTGAAATGTTTAGCCTTTGGGCATTCATAGATTTGTTTTGTGCCAATAAGCACACTTTTAATGTTCCTGCCTGTATTTTAGTTGTGTCTGAGATCAAAAGCGTGTTTATTGGCACAGAGCATCAAATGAAACTATCAACTGAACATCTCAAGTGATAGATGCCACCTGTTCAGTGGGAAGGAGAAACATTGGGATCATTAGACCTTTGAACAAGGACATAATTTACAAAAAACAAAATACTGTAGGTTATGTGCACATTTTGGGGTTAGAGTACTTGCATATTAATATATCTCCATTATTTATTATTTGTGTTAGAGAATGCTAAACTCTGTGTATGCATCTACCTGTACCAGTGGAACCAAGTACAGCCTGCTGGCCTACACTACACTGTGTCCTTTACTGTGTACACTACACTTCATGTTGAGCATGAATCTTTCATGGAGAAGCCACTATGTTAAAATAAGCCTACGCATTATACTTGAAAGAATGCTAAACTCTGTGCATGTGTTTGTGTGTGCATCTACCTGTTCCAGTGGAGCCAAGTACAGCCTGTTGGCCTACACTACACTGTGTCTACCTGAGGCTGAAGGCAGCTTTCAGTCTCACTCCCTCATTGTCCTCCAAGGCGGTAAGAAGTAAAGGCACAGAAATGTCATATCTGGGGATATAGTGGGATTATTCTTATAGCTCCTGATATGATTCAATACTGTGGTAATGGTAAAATATTTTGACAAAAACGACAGAATTAAACAAAATAACCTATGATTGAAGTTCTGCTTGGATTACTTTTCTTCCTTTGCGTGATTGATTAAATGGATAAGGAAGTGGGTGCTCAGGCAGGTTTTTCTTATGCAGCTTTGGTATGAAATTGCACCATGGTACGTTAGTGTTCTGGCCCTCAGTGCATATTAAGTTACAATTATTTTAAGTTATTGTGAAACGCTCCTATGACAAGAAGCTATGTGACAGGAACATACATCTGCTCTTGCATGTGTGTATGATGACGTGTAACAGTACACCTAATTGACAAAGTTGTTTAATTATGTGGTTTTACCTTTTCACTCAAGATAGGATTAACTCAAGATTAATGAATACCTTTTTATCTTTACACAAGGCATCTAGTAGTTTCATTAAGATGAACATAAGTAGTTTTCTGTAGTTTGTGTTTAATTGCTACTGCTGCTTTTCATCCCAACAGCTGAGTTGTCATCTTGGCTTCCACTTTATGGCAACCTCTGCTGCCGGTTGGTGGCCCAGCCTGTCTGCATGATACAGAGCATGATGACCGGCCACCTGAGCCAGAAGGTGCGTTGACTGCTATTTGCAGGGTTAAATGCTTCAGTTCCATTTGTTCATTCCTTTCGTTATCTGTTATTGTCATTGTGCTAATTTTCAGCAAAGTGTGGAGGGAATGTACCGTTGCTGCAGTCTTTACTGTGTGCTTAGTGCTGGCTTTTTGTCCTGTTACTTCACCCCGGAAGAAATCGATGCTAAAGTGCAGCCCACTCTCAACATACCCATCAACAAGGTAAAACAGTATCCAAACCTTCATATTCCTCACTCTCATTAGTATTTCATGTTCAGTTGTTCTGTTGAGCTTGGCGATTATAAATTTCCGGGAACTACAGCGGCAGCATAATAAAATGTGCAGTACTGGAAATATTTACTATTTATGTTTCTGTTGCCATATATATATATATTAAATGTAAAAGCAGAAAAATAAACCAGAATTACACCAGAATTACCAATTGTTGTTACTGTTTTACTATCACTGTTATTATCTCTGTTTTAGTTGTGCTGTCTGGTTAGAGAAAATTTGAATTAAATATAAACATTACATTCATTATTATTGATTTAAATCTCAGTTCAGTTTTCTCTAACATTTGTAGAATAACCAAAATACAAAATGCCGCATTATTCACTGAGATCCTGTTGGCATCGTTGGCATTTTGCTGCTGAATTAATTTTTTCTACAATATCAGCTATGTACTTTTTAGTGCAATATCTCACATTTGTTTACCCTGGAACTGAATTTCAGCCTATTTAAGCTATTTATGCTGTTTCTGCAGGACACACGGATCCGTGTGATGGAGAAGGAGTCACTAGGCCAGAAGTCCAGGAGTCTGTCCATCATCAGTCCTTCGCCAGAGGGATCTCAGACCATTGTCTTCACCACAGAAACCAGGGAGGAGCTGGAGGACTGGCTCGACGCCCTCCACCAGCACCTCTATGATCAGAGTGAGTGTGTTTCTGTGTAAATATACAGAAGAAGTGTGTGTATATATGTGTGTGTGTGTGTGTGTGTGTATATATATAAACTATGGTTACATACAGTACATGTGCGTACAGAGCAGCAACATGTTTGTATGTTTCTGAATCTATTTGTATGTATTTGACAGTATATACAGAAGGTGGGGAGTGTACATCTGTTTGTTTGGGCAAGAAAAATGGCTACACACACTCAACTTTGAAAGAACAGATAGCATAACCTTTTATCTGTGTCTCTCATGCCTCCTTGTTTACAACCAGGCCAGTGGCTGCACTGCTGCAACCAGCTAATGAAGATCGAGGTTGCGTCACCACGAAAACCATCACTCTTCCTCACCAAGCAGGCTGACTCTGTTTACAATGACCTCAGTGAGTAGAGTAATTGGAACGAGTGGCTGAAGTGAGTTAGATGGAGCTAGATAATTTTCTGGCTATTTGATGTGCACTATTTTACAGGATGTGTATGGATCTATTTATAGAAGGTATGTATCTATTTATAGAAGATACGGTGCAAGTGCTCAAAACAAATGGGACACCACAGTGAAATAAATGTATTCTATTCACCATGTATAATAGTTTTATTTTCAGTGGTGACTCATGTAAATAATATTGGAATCTGTGCTTATTTGTTCTTTGTGAAATGTTATTATAGTTATCTGCATTTCAATAATACATCAAACATAGGAAAAACTTAACATTTACCTAATTGCTTTCACTTTATTTTAATGTGTGTTCATTTTATTTGATGTGCAGGTATAAATTCACCTGGCAAGTTTGAGAGCATCACAGACATTATCCACGACAAAATAGAGGAAACAGATGGCCGCTTTCTTATTGGTCATGAAGAGGGGAAGGAAGCGGCTAATTGGTCCACTCTATTTGATGGGTCCCATTCAATCATTGTGCAGAAAAGTATTCTCTCCCAAAGCAAAACCTCCACCCCTTGTTCAAGCCCAGTCCCCAACCTCAACACCAGTTCTACATCCACTGGCAACAAGAAGCGCCGAGCCCCACCCCCTCCCTCTGACAGAGAGCCTTATGCTCCTTCCTCCCGTCCTGCCAGACCTCCCCTCCCTGCTTCTCTTCATCACCCTCCTCCTCCCCGATACCAGGAGAAGGAGAATTCCGGCACTTCACGCCCGGCCACAAGGCCCAAAACTGGCAGACCATCTCTGGATGCCAAATTCTCTGCCATCATCCAGCAGCTCCAGCGGAACAATGCTGGAGGAGCCCACAGCCGAAAAAACGCTCCACTGGGCGTCCTCGATGTACAACCACAAAGTCAGCCTCAGCCCCCTCTCCAGCAGCATGAGCACCAGGGCCACCACACCCAGAACAATAATGCCGCAGGTGATCATGGCTTCCTCAGATCAGGTCACGATTCTGGTCCTGTTCCTGCACCGAGGAGCAAACTAAGGAAGTCTTTCAGAGAGAGGATGAACCTTTAAAGCCTTGTGAACTTGACTTTCGACCATATCTATATTTAACCAACTAACTCTACCTTACTAATACAAATAAATATCCCAACTAAGCTAACGTTGATAAAATCAGATATCACAATATTTGACTGTATCTAAAAAGCGATAATGTGAGATTTAGTCCAAAGGTAGCAAAATCTGCCTACGAGCATCTCTAAAGCTCTTTTTTTCCCATCCAAAAGTGTAAAAATGATTGCGGTAAAAGAGGGGTTTTGTGCAAGAATATTCTTGATTGGGAGCAGCGACTTACTAGAGTGGGTTTGAGGGTTAGATTCTTCCAGTGGCTAACTGTTTCCCCCTGCTTTTAGTCTTGATGCTAAGCCAAACTAACCATCTCCCAGCTCCATCTTCATATTGAGCTGATAGATAAGAGAGTGGTATCTATTGATCTTTTCATCGCATTTCCCAAAATGTCTAACTGTTTTTTAACCCAAAGGATGGGTGACATGGTCTCTTAAGAAAAGATCCTCACAATGTCCATCATGGCAACCCAAATCCTAGTTGACACCTCCATATCACTATCAATACTGTATTGATACATTTGCAGCTCCACTCTCCATTTATAAACTTTTTTTGTACACCTAACCCATAGATGGAATTGAAAGCTGTATGTTGGCTTGAGCACTGCCATAATCAATCCCACTAAAATGGAAAGGCTTATTTCTCAGCTCTGCCACTGGAACATGGGCCGAAGAAAGAGCCTTTTGCAAAAGCACTCAAATTGGAATTGATCCATTGGCCGACTGTGGACGAGTCATTCCTTTTGGAACTATTGACTTATTCCACTTACTGTGACAACTTTATGACCACTATAGCTGATTTTAGGGGAACAGGGTTTTAGGAGCAATTGCAGGCACTAATGTGACTTATCCATTTCTCAGAGGTCTTAATAATGGAGTGACCTTGGTTTTCAGTGGCTACACAGTATGTCCAATGTAATTCAACACTGCAGCCCATAAATGCTATGAACATAATTGAAAGAATGAGCCTTGTGAGTGACTAAAATAATGAATGCCCTTGTGTTTGTGTTTTGAACATTTCCAATGCCAGCCACTAAATATTCAACCACTTACCGATCACGTGTTAAAGAATGGTCTTTATAATTACACTAGTGTACAAAACATTAGGTTTAGCTACTTTGTCTGAAATTGCCTGGCCAGATGAAACCACATCGTGAAAGCTACAATCCTCCTTTTTTTTATTTCACCCACTAAATTCTGTTTAATCAGAGGGGGAGATGTAGATTTGAGGGAAGGCGGTACAGGAGGATTTAATTTAAGCCTTGAAAGAACTGAGAATAGATTGTATAAAAAGGATGATGCTCAATATTAGCAGTGTGCACAATGTTTTCTATGCTCTGTGTGTATTGCCAATACATTAGTCACTTTGATGTTGTAACTGTATATACCTGGACAAACAAGGGAATTGTGTTAGTTTTACTAATGCTGCTATGGTTACACCTTTAGGCTATGTGATTGTGGCTAAAATCATCACACATGCTGTATCCATCAACATCTTTGCCAGTTTAAGTTAGACTAAGCATGCTGGAGACAAAGCACATTAAAAATATGGCAGGTGTCTGACTGATTAACTGTTAGCCCTGGTGAAAGCAGTTTAATGCAATCAGTACAGAAAATTTTGCTCCTGTGGATATTAAGCTTGAGGGAGAGCGTCTGATCTTCCGATTAATGTATAACTGCTTTATGAGTAAACAAGGACTGAACATTCACTGTGATCAGAGCCAAACTAATGAGCCAAATGTATTTTCATTTAATGTTTTTTATATTTGTTTTTTCATTTAATTACATATCACCGCAATAACTAAACCAATAATTTGAATTTTTTGTGCTTCTGATTAAAAGTTCTTTGTTTCTTTTTATAGTGTAATACTGCCATGCTTCTAAATGTTAGTTTTAGCATATGAATTATTTAGACTTTAAGTGGCGCTGTGTTATGTATACTAAGTAGGAATACATTAATCTTAGTCCTAGTGCAGAATAATTTGTGTATAGTGCAATGTAAAAAAATACTAGATATTTTGTTTCTCAAAGTGCAATTTTCTCCTCACTCTTGTTCACAGTTGTCTTAGAAGCCAACTGTATTTTTTTTTTTTTTATTATGCTGATCTGCAATAAAATGGCCTACATTCTACCCTTGTGAGGCTGCTTTATTTTTGCTGAGCTTGGAAGTATTACTGAATATTTTCATGGTAAAAGTTTTACCAGGGGGTGGCATAAAAGTCAAAGCATAGCTTTTATTGCAGCCCAACACACATCCCATAGAGATACATACACGGGAACATTTCTCTACTGCAGCAAATACTGGGCTTTTCTGGCGTTGAGCCCAGAAGTAGCCTGTTGTGAAGATTAAGGCGGATGGAATCTCATAGCCAGATAATGGTATTACAATAATAAAACCCCATTCACACTACATTACTCAGGAAAAAAATAACATACATTGACATAGTACACTTGCATTAAATCAGTTTTCAGTCGTTGATATTTATCTGCAGTTCGTTAAATAACACAACTGAGGAAACGTGATAGATAGTAAAATATTTTAATTAAATACAGGAGGTCATATCATACAAAAGTCTTTATTTTTGTCTTGCTCGCCAGCTGGGTGATTGGTAAACAGATGGCTACTGTATCAAAAACACTTTCAGGATGCACATTAATGGCTACAATGTGAGAGAAAAAAAAGTGAACAACAAACAAATAAAAATGATCCTAATTCTTAAATTGTAGTGTTTGTTTAAATCTAACATGATCACTGTGACCTTGAAACAGAGCACCAAGGACACAGCTAGATTGTGTAACCGGCTTTTATACTGTTTTTATACTATTTACAGATTACAACGTTTATATGATAACAAACCACGCGTACTATCTACAGTGATATTTACACAGAAAATAAGAAAGAAGAGGGGTTGTCGATTGATCCCATATGAATGTTCTGACAGGAGCCAGCACTAAGGCCAGTTTAACCTACACACAGCAATGTACAGTACTTAATCAGATATGAATGTCTTTATCTAAGTATTCAGTTAAACTTTACACATATACGTTTACAGCATGTTTTTTTTCTTCTTTGAAACACCAGACATGTTAACTGTGTATTTCGACTATCCTGGATGCAATTAAGTGGTTGTAAAAGCCAGAGCAGGTGTTGTCCTTCCACC